TTTCTTTTCCCACCCAGCTGACATTTTGCTTGCTAAACAGCTAGCAGCAATGCTCCTCACTCACCGTCTTTCCAGGAGGCAGGCGGGCACTGAATTTTTCTTTTATCCTCTCTGCACAGGCAATGCTTTCCCCAGCCCCTCCCACGTCCCATGAGCACTCCTTATCTTGCCATTCAGCGTACATAAGAGCTCAAAGGGGCTGGAGATTAATTTCTCCAGGCTGCAATTTGCTAGCGATTATAATTTAAACCCTGTCTGGCAACTCGGAAACACTACACGCCAGCAAGCGTTGACTTTGGTCTCACCCGGAGGCTGCTCTGACAACCCTGGGTTTCTGTCTGGAGTTCAAGGAGGAAGGCAGCTGAAGAAAAAAGCCAGGGGAGGCATCTCCCAGCTCCGGGATCATTCTCAGAGGCTGGCCCTTTCGCACATCCAGCGGGTGGGTCAGTTGGTCTAACCCACCAGAGGTACAGCAGCCGAGTGAAATCCCCTGGCTAGCAAACCAAGGAGAAGTATTTCACCCCTCGGAGAGCAGCAGCCTGCTGGCCAGCCCCACCATTGCCACCTCCACTTCCCATTGCCCAGGGCAAGTACATCTGGAGAGCACAGGCAAGGACAGGGCAAGGGGGTGAAACCAAAAATCCCTACAAAGCTAAGCTTCACGAACCCTGCTGCACTTGTGGGTGGCGGGTGTTGCTATTGCAATTCTCAATCCTTGCCCTTAGAGCTCAAAGAGAAAAAAAACCTTCTTAAATCCTACGGCAAGAGGAGACCTTCCAGCCATTGAAACGTGTTTAAGTCTTCCTCCGAAAGAAGTGGGACCCACATTCCTGCCTTCGCTCCCTACAATTTAAAGTACATCCAGAGGCTACCGCAATGCCCGGGCATTCCACCCCAATCCTGCTGAGCCCAGCGCTGGCCTCCCCGCTGCAACGAGCCGAGAAAGGGCCACTAAAGAAAAGCACAAAATAAGCTGGCATCGCTGCCTAACTTATACACCCAAGCAGAACTACTTTGATCTGTTCAGAGGAAACCATTCGTATTTTAATAGTTTCGGAAAGGGATATCAAGGAATCAGAGATCAGTACAACCTACCCTCAGGACAAACCACTTGACAGAAGCAACCCCTCATGTAGGAGCTATCGCCTGGCAAGGCAGCTGTTCCGGCAGATTTTGCTAAAGGAATCAGGCCTCGTAAATCTTATATTTATTAAAAAAAAAAAAAAAAAAAAAGTCAACAGGACTGCAGATATAATCTAACTGAGCATGTATTTGGGTATCCATGAAGCTTTGGAGAGAATTTTCTTTAGAAGGTCTTAAGCAAATTAAGCTCTTAGGGAGTAACAGGAAAGTTTCTCACCGACAGGCAACTGGCTGAAGATGCGGGATGTTAAAGGCGTAGATTCCTACGCTTTCAAAACAGGAGGAAGGCAGCAGTGGAATCCCGTTTATTTCTGCTTGTGCTGGACTGTTCAACGTATTTG